CTATCTATCTATCTATCTATCTATCTATCTATCTATCTATCTATCTATCTATCAATCAATCAATCAATCAATCATATTTATATAGCTGCCCATCTCACACAAGGTGATTCTGGGTGGTGTACAACCATTAAAAAATAAATACATCGAAACAATTAGACATAAGAAAACTGTAAAAACACCCAAAATAGGAGGGGATAAAATTAATCATATTGATTTATCATACGTTCTTGATCACCAGAAAACGGTTCTTTTATTTGCTGCTTCTCCCACCCCTCCTGCAGAACTTCAGAAGAATTTGGAGAAGAAAGTTTTCGGACAACATCTCGTGTCAGAGGTGATTGTGAAAGCCGTCACTGGGTTTCTGACCAATTCAAATCCGAAGAAACCCCTGGCCCTCTCCTTGCACGGGTGGACTGGGACGGGCAAAAATTTCGTCAGTAAGATTATTGCGGAGAGCATTTACGAAGAAGGGCTGAGGAGCAGATACGTTCACCAGTTTGTGTCTACTTTGCACTTCCCGCATCAGCAGAACATTAGTCAGTACAAGGTGAGCGGATCCGGATTACGTTTCAGCGGGGTTAGGAAGCTCAACGTTTCTCTCGCTCGCCTGCCTTCCCAAATTGACGGGTGCATTGACCTCCAACCATTGCTTTAAAGCAGTGTTGTCCAAACTTGGCCACCTTAAGATGAGTGGACTTCCAACTCCCAGAATTCCCCAGCCAGAATTTAAAGCAACAGTGGGTGAGTTTGCCCGGCACTCTGAAGCCAAACAGACCAGGTTTATAAGCTCACCTTCCATGTGCAAGGGCATTCTAGGCCGGAAGATTGGCACTGCGGGCATTTTTCTACTGAGCCCCAAAACTAGGCAGAATTGGAGTTTCTCTTTGTCACACGGAGTTGATTTCAGCTGCTTTCTGGTGTGCTCATCTCAGGCCCAGGTTTTTGGATGCTCTGAGCACCGTTGAGTGACTTGGGGTGGGGGACCAATTCATTCTTGTGCGGGGGGGAGATGGGATGCTTAACGGGACAGAAATATGTGTAGCTTTAGCAAACAATTGCCTGCAGTTCATTACTGATATTGCTTTGGTGTCCTAGACCACACGCTGAATTAATATAAGAGGTCTTAACCTTACGTAACCTTAGCATGAATTTTTAATTAAATAAGCCTTTAGATCCCAAATTCTCTGAAGGACACAAGGCTTCCTTGGGGGAATACGGATCGGATACTGGGCAGGCCTGCAAATTCCAGTACAGAATTTATTTTGCTTCCTTGATGAAGGAAAACCCCAGTTAACGCTTTAGAAAACCACAGGGAAAGAGAATATTAAGTTGTAAAACCGTGCATCCTCTGTGGCTTAACATTCATTATTTCTAAGCTTTATTGGGTTTTTTTGGAATAACATCCAGTTTTGAGCACCGGATGTTTGAAAGCTCCGTACAGGAAATCGTTGTTATGAAAGTCTTACGCGTTCGCTCAGTTTGTGAAGTTTAACTTCCGAAACTGGCTTCCAGTCATCCATTTCTTTTCTTTGGCTAAAACAGAATTTACTTGGGGGTTGAAGTAAAAAGATTTATGAAATGCAGCTGCTTTTCTGTACAGATTTTTTTTTTTTTGACAAATCCTTTCTCTTCAAAGGCTAATCAGCACCTGTACCAATGTTTATGCTTAGAAAACTGTGGGTGAGATTAATATGGTGACGCTCAGCAGTCACAAGTTGGAAATGGAATGGGTCATTCCAGGATGGGATTGAGGAGCAACCAAAAAAGTGAATTTCTGTGGACCTCCTTGGGCTCAGAGCGACTTTATTATATGTTACTTATTTCTGCTCTTTATATGTTTTAAGCAACATTAGAAGCAACATCAGAGGAGATTGAGGCATTCAGTGTTCCTGCTAAGCAAATGTTCAAGGATTTTCCTGTTTTCTGCAGGGGGAGGAAGAGGAGGAGGAGGGTTCAGGAATAAGAATATCCCTTGCCATTTCTGGTTCAGAATGCCATCCGAAGTATTTTCCCAGCATATTCTTTGAGAATAATTCCAGCCCACCCCCCTGCCACCTGGCCTACATCAGTTTAAACGACTTCATAGAAAAGCATTTTCTCTCACACTAGAGCATGGATGAAACACACACACACACGTGTTAAACTTTGCTTTCTCAATCATTCCGAAAGAAATGTTTGCTTTTAATCTTTTAGGACCAATTGCAAATGTGGATTCGTGGCAACGTGAGCACCTGTGGAAGGTCGATCTTCATATTTGACGAGATGGATAAAATGCACGCAGGACTCATAGACTCGATCAAGCCTTTCCTGGAATATTACGAACAGATAGATGGCATATCGTACCGAAAAGCGATCTTCATCTTCCTCAGGTCAGGCACCATGGCAGTGCTGGGCCACAAAAAAATATTTTAAAATGTATTTGCTGGAGAGAAACGTTCTCAGATTTCAGGATTGCAGTTAAAAAGGTTTGGGCTATTGTAAACCTAACCTCTGTCAATTGATGATTCTACAGATTTGTTTCATTCTCATGGTATTTTCTCAGCAAATAAGTGTGTTTTTTTAAGCCACCCAAACTTTACAGACCTATAAACATAATGTTTCTTTAGTATATGCAGTTCAGTCTGCAGCTTATATAATTAACCGTAATTTGCTCATTTTGTAAGCCCATGCTTTTTATATTTAAATGCTTAAATTCAACCCACCCAAACATACTTAGTTGTGTAAGCAGCGTAGCTCAAACCTATGGCTGATTTTTGTGGGCAGCTTGGACACAGGTGCCCTGTACTTTAGGGATTCTTACACAAAGGATGCAACGTTCCTGTTGCCCCTGCGAGAGGGTACGTCATGTAAAAAAGAAAAAAAAAACCTCTATGGATTTCTTTTACCTCTAGCCAAAAATGCTTGGATCTGGTGGCTGGCACTCTTTCCTTTTCAGCCCTGCTTCGCAGGATCGTAGAAGATGTGCATCTCCTCAACTCCCAGTGATTGAAAATCTCTTCCTTATCCAGCAATGCAGGAGCTGAAAAAATAACAGAGGTGGCCCTGGAATACTGGAGGAAAGGAAGGAGGAGGGAAGACCTGCCTCTGCACGTTATGCAACAATCGTTGTCAAACTCTGTCTTTAATAACAAAAATAGTGAGTAACACGTGCTTCCATTGTGTTATCAGCTTGGCATCTGGTTGTCCTGCGGTACCATTGAATGTACAAACACATTGACATCTCTTATTCCATCCTGCAGGTAGTCCTCGCTTAACAACCATTCGTTTAGCAACAGTTTGAAGTTACAGTGGTGCTAAAAAAGGGACTTAAGACTGGTCCTTGCACTTATGACCATTGCAGAGTCCCTGTGGTCATGTGACAATCCAGGCACTTGGCAACCAGCTCTCATGATGGTTGCAGAATCCTGGAGTCACGTGATTGTCATTTGCAACCTTCCCAGCTGGCTTCCGGGAAGCAAAATCAAGGGGGAACCGTGTGATTTGCTTAACGACCATGTAGTTTGCTTAATGACCATGGTGATTTGCTTAGCAACCGCTGCAAAAAAGGTGGTAAAATTGGGTCCTATTTGCTTCACAACCACCCCGCTTAACAACCAATTTTCTGGTCTCTATTGTGGTTGTTAAGTAAAGACTACCTGTAGTGATTTACCCTAGTCCAGGCAGTGATGGTGACTAGTCCAGGCAGTCATCAGGAGTCAACAAAGACTTGAAGGCACCCAAAAAAAAAATAGTAACAGAATCTTGCAAGTCTGAAAGTGTTTCCCCCCTTTCTCGCTTTACCTTTGTGTGAACTAGGGTAACCTAGTTCTAGAACCTATCTGAGATGTTTTTTCAAATTAATTCGTTGGAGCCAGCTCAAGCCCTGCTTATCCGACCATCGCCTTGGCTCTTCCTCCGGCCCTTCAAGGCCGTTCCCATGCTCTCTACGTTAGCAGAGTCAGATGCTTGACTCAAAACCGCCCCTTTGAGGTTAGCACGCTTGTAACCTTCAATCGTATCGATCGAAAGCCTTAACTGATTGCAGCCGTGATGGGCAGCAGAGGTCAGTATCTGTAGACCAGTCTGGGTGGTGACCATGTTGTACGGAAGATGTTGGTTTGGAATGTAAGAGGTGCCAGTGCTGAAGAGTGTGAAGTAACAAAGGAAGGGAAGGGAGGCTTGAAATTGTATGTTTCAAAGCTAAAAGAATATGCACTGACATTGTTAGCTAGTTTAATAATGAAACATTTGCAAGAAGAACATCAAGCCCAAATCTCAATGAAGGTGGTCTGATTTTTTGGAAGGGAATGAATGAGCATGCAAGGAAGTGAGAGGGCTTAAGAAGAATGAAAGGGCTAATATATATATTTCAAAAAGTATGAGCTGATGCCATCTAGATTGTCATCGATACATGTAAGGGTAGGTATCTATAGGCTGGTGACAGTGTGTGAGTTACACTCCAGTGACACTCTGAACTAGAGCTGAATTTGGGGGAAAACTTTTTGAAGGAAAGCAAAAATTAGTCTGCTAGCGGTCGTGAATTGAGGGTGGAAGTGAGAGGAGGGTGTCCAGAAAAATGAAACTGAAAACCAGATAGGAAGGTGACCGGCGAGAATCTGCTTAGAAAGGTTCTGTTTGTTTTGACTGTGCGGTTTAAGTAGAAATTTATTCACGCGTACACATGGCAAAGGAGGTGCAAAGTGGTGTGTAGATGTGGTGGAAGCCAGGATAGAGAGGTCCCATGGGTGGCATTGATGGAAACTTATATAGGCTTTTAATTGTATATTTATTTATTGTTTTTAATGAGTCGTGAGCCACCCAGAGTCCCCCGTTGGGGGGAGATGGGTGGGGACAAATGTAATAAATAAACTCATTTTAGCTATGTTTATTTCCTTTTTCTTATTCCATACCTGCCATTTCTTTCTTATTTCTCTTCTGTGCTCTGCATAACGTTGCTTATCCTAAAGGGGAATCATGTTAGGGCTGTGTCCCTGTTGATCAAAACTTCCCGTACTGAGGCTGACAAACATCCTATTCCATCTCCTCCTGAAACAAATACTTGCTTTTCTTCTTGGCAGCGTTACCAGCGAATCCCGTTTAAGAGAACACCGTTTTTTCTTGCAGGTGGTTTTTGGCACAGCAGCCTGATCGACCGAAACGTCATCGATTACTTCATTCCGTTCCTTCCGTTGGAAATCAGGCACGTGAAAATGTGCGTCGAGGCCGAAATGCGATCGCGGGGCTACCCGATCAATGAGGATATAGTGACCCGCGTCGCAAACGAGATGACCTATTTCCCCAAAGAGGAGCGGATCTATTCAGACAAAGGATGCAAAACAGTTTACACAAAACTAGATTTCCATTATGACGTCTGACCGTTTTCTGCTTTAAACTGTGTAGAAGGAAAAAAAAAACAGAACCTATTTACAGGACTTGGAGAAACCCAATCACCTTTTTTCTGATTTTTTAAAAAGATTTTAATCTATGTAAATAGGACAATTACTTGAGGCTGGGGGAGGAACTTGATTCTTGATTCTAAAATTGTTCTTGTTTGTGGGTTAAGAGAATGGTTTATAGGTCCACCTGCTGTGATGCTGTTTTAATTACGACTGCATTTTGGTCTATTTCATCAGCGCCTTATGGGCTAAATCCATATATAGGATTGATTTGGAAGCGAAAGTGGTTCTAATTAGATCATAGTTGGTTGATATGAAAAGCACTTTGATTTTTTTAAACACTTGTGACTCCTAAGAAATGAAGGAATGTTTTTGAATCCATGCCTTTTTTTAAAAAGAGCATCCTGCAAATTATTAACTTATAGATTCATTTCATAATATTGAGGCAGGTGGCTGCTAATGTACAGTTAATTTCAAATGGCTCTGAGGGTATCTTTAAAGGTACTTTTAAAGATTTTCAGGAGTTCTTTCACGAGACCAGTGTGGGGGCCAAAAAAGAAGGGGGAAAAAAAAGTCCAGGAAAGTGGTGTAGGACTGCGAAAATGGTCAAGCAGCGAAAGATTCGACTGTATTTTCTGTATTTTTCTGATAAGACACAACAGGCCATCTTAACTCCTGCCCAGGGTGAACAGCAGACATATTCTAGGTGCTTTGAGAATCACCTGCGATTCCTTTAAGAAGGATCCTGTCAGAACCCATTCAGAGAGAAAGCAGCGTCGTCTTAATCCCGGGAGACAGAGTTTGTGAGAATATTCTGATGCAATCAGTACTGTAGCAAAATGTTCTTTTCCTCTACCCCATCCAAATAAAGATGGCTTAGTGAAACAGCTGTCCATAGCAAGACGGTATTCATCTCTTACAGGGGTTTGTTGAACCGTACTGAAGTATTTTTCTGAGTAAAGAAAAACTAACCAAGCCGGCTGCAAATTCTGCAGGTCGTTGTCCTGCCCCGTCTGGTGAAAAATGCTGAAAGGGGCCTTCTTGGAGGTCCAACTTACCTAGATCTGCTAGTCTCTTTGGGTAATCTTGTGGAAGGCTCCTGTGGATAATCTTTGCCCTGTCCTGTATATGGTATGATGGAAAAAGAGGGGACTAATAAAAAGGCCTCCCCTCCAATATTTTTCCAAAGTCTCTCCATCCGTTTTAGGATTTTACAGGACTCCACCGATCCTGGTGTCAGGGTTATCCTTAAAAACTTCTATACTATTTTTCTTTTCAACCAGGTGGGGAATTCTGGGAGTTCCAGTGTCACCCTGCTGGGGAATTCTGGGAGTTGAAGTCCACACTTCTTAAAGTCGCAATTCTGGGAGTTCCAGTGTCACCCTGCTGGGGAATTCTGGGAGTTGAAGTCCACACTTCTTAAAGTCACTGAGGTTGAGAAACACTGTCGTAAAGCATCTCCCTCAGGGAGGAACATCAGAGTCCCTCCAGCAGAAATGCCTCGTGT